ATTTGCGGACAGCATTGATTTTCTGTTACCATTTGAAGAAAATTGCTGCAGAATCGTATCGAATGCTCGTCGAAACTTACGGTGAGCATGCTCTTGGTAAATCACAGTGCTTTGAGTGGTTTAAAAAATTCAAAAGTGGCGATTATGACGTGAAAAACGAAGAACGTGGAAAACCACTGAAAAAGTTTGAAGACGGCGAATTGCAAGCATTGTTGGATGAGGATGACGCTCAAACTCAACAACAACTCGCGGATCAATTGAATGTGACACGAGAAGCCGTTTCCATACATTTGAAATCCATGGGAAAGATCTAGAAGATGGGAAAATGGGTTCCACATGAACTGAACGAAAGACAGCAGGAAAACCGAAAAACCACTTGCGAAATGCTGCTCGCCAGGTACAAAAGAAAGTCATTTCTCCATCGAATTGTGACTGGCGATGAAAAGTGGATATATTTTGAGAATCCTAAGCGTAAAAGATCATGGGTAACACCAGGCGAACCATCGACATCGACTGCAAGGCCAAATCGCTATGGACGGAAGACAATGCTCTGTGTTAGTTTGGTGGGATCAGAAAGGCGTGATCTATTATGAGCTACTAAAACCTGGCGAAATCGTTAATACTGAACGCTACCGACAACAAATGATCAATTTGAAGCTTTGTGTGAAAAACGACCGAAATATCAAAAAAGGCAACACAAAGTGATTTTGCTTCATGATAATGCACCATCACACACAGTAAAACTGGTCAAGGAAACGATTGAGGCGTTTGGTTGGGAAATACTTTCGTATGCGGATTACTCACCAGACTTGGCTCCGTCCGATTACTACTTATTTGCATCGATGGGACACGCACTTGCTCAGCAGCGCTTCACTTCTTACGAAGATGTACGGAAATGGCTAGATGACTGGTTTGGCTCAAAAGAGCAACAATTTTTTTGGCGTGGCATCCACAAATTGTCAGACAGGTGAGAAAAATGTATAGCTAGCGATGAGCAATATTTCGAATGAAATATTTTTTATCATTTTCATGCAATAAACGTGTATTTTCTATTAAAAAATTCCGGTTTTATATTTACATACCTGGTACATCTCTGTTTAACTGCAACGAATTTATTAACTAAGTTAGGAAACAATAATGAAAAAATTTATAATTAATATTTAATAAAAGAAAATCGAACGGAGATGAGATTATACATTGGTATATTTGTTAACTAGGCTAGGAAATGATAATGACAAGCAATTTATTCGATAACGATCTCCATTTGTTTATAACTCAATATTTAACAAAAGGAGATTCGATGTAAACGAAATTATATGCTGGTAATCAATATTTAATTTAATTTAAGACATAAATCTTGAAAGTCAGAAAGAGAAACTAATTGTAAGATGCATTATAAAGTTTTATTATTTTATGGTAATATGAATAAGAATTTTTTTACAGTAACATAAATGTATAAGAAATAAATATAGTATAACTCCTCCTGTATTTCTATTCTCAGCTTTACGTCTAATCATACTATAACCTGGAACATACACTTCTCATTGTCCGCAATTTCCCCAGTTAATCTGGTTTCCGATAATGCTAAGAACGCTGGACTTATTTTCTTCATAACCTGGTGGAATCTCATCTTTATGCGCCATTAAGATTTGCGCATTCGTAAATAATAATAATAATAACTCCGCTCCTTTCTGTGATTATTATTTAGCGTCCTCCTAGTCAGCTCTCCTCTTCTCTTTCTGTATCGCCCTTTTATAAGTTGGACACTCTGGACTAGGTGCATCATGTTCTTCATTTATCTTCGAATTGTATGCTCGATTTTTGTACATACAATTACACATTTCTTTTTTGTCGCCGTACAATCGATCGAGTTATGATTTCCTGCACATTTATGACATGTTTCATCTCGCTTGCAGTTTTTTGCAATATGATAATATCCCCAGCATTTGAAACATCTTTTAACACTAATATGATCAAATACAGGACATTTCTTCCATCCTATACTTAATTTCGCTTTCTTCAACATCAGTTCGTGCATTTCCTCGTCTAACTCTATTATTACTGATCCTACTTCCATTCCTCCTCTCCCAGATTGATTTCTCTTCTCTTTAATTATTCTTTTTACTATACACATATTTACTGCATCTATTTTGTTCTGCTTCTTTATTATATTTACAAGTTCATTATCATCCAACTTCATTTCTTCCACGTCAATATTAATAATTTTTATCTTTGGTCTTGACTGTGGTGGCTCTTTCACATTATAATTTTCTTCCAGCTTAGCTTGAACTATCTCTTTTAACCTTTTCACCTCGTCTCCGATCTCACAACCTATGATCACTGTTCCATTGCTTCCCTTTCTTAATTTTGTTATTCCCATAGCTATGCTCTTAATATCCACCCTTTCTTTTATCAATTTTTTTGTAATTTCACTCTCTTGTTGCATTTTCAGCTTAACAATTATGTTTTCTTTCTTCTTCTCTTTAACCGCTTCACTATAGCTTCTTTGCACTCCATCCATTGATCCGCATGTTACTCCCTATATCATTTTTCTCAAATCTTCCAGTTCTTGCTTCAATTCTTCTCGAACTACTTCTTTAATCATCATCTTAATTTCTCTTTTACAGGCTGTATCATCTTTGATTTCTTTCACTGTTCTTATAAGCCAGTCAATTTTCATATCAATACTAGACGATCCTGTATTTTCTACCGATCCTGTAGATTTCGTCCTATCTCTATTGTTCCCTGCTGCCGCAGGCGTTCTTTTCATATTCGCTTCTTGTTCACTTTCAAGTAACTCTTCGAATGAGCTAGCACACGGCACCAGTTCCTGATTTCTGTCGTATATTTTATGCTTAACTACATATCCCGGATGATAAAAGAGCTTAGACTCGCATTTAACAACTGTGCTCTTTATTGGCTTTTTACATGCCGAGCATCGATAATCTGCATATTTACTGTTCATGCTGACAATTACCGGCCGAAACCGCTGTTATCAGCTTAGATGATCATTCATCTTTATTACTGTCACACGTCAGCACTTCCGTGTCCACGTATAATGTCTGTATGTCTTACGAAATTCCGATATCCGCGCAAAGAAATGCACTTCTGCCACATAAATCGACATATCCCGGCTAGATAACACTCATAGCTATTCCTGGTCCATACCTCTATCACTTGAACGACTTTGCTTACTGTCACTCACTATTTAACGACTGAAAATTGATTATTTTCACGGATGGATGTCCAACACGTCCTCTTCAGCAGAGAGAGCGAGAGAGAGAGAGAGAGAGAGAGAGAGAGAGAGAGAGAGAGAAAGAGAGTTCTTCGAACACTTACCGCAAACACCGGCACCCAATTCTCTCTCCGACCAATGTTCGCAAGTCGTTAGCGAGGGTTCGGTGCCACGACAGCCTGGTTCCTCGTAAAGAAGACGCGGTTTGGAGGGCCATTGTCTGTCGATCCATGACCACCATTGTCCGCCCTGATAACCGAGCTGCCGGCATGCTGTCTCTAGATTTGTGCGAGTCCAACTGCAACGAGATTCACATAGGTGTTAGACTTAATTCCTGCTGTTTTTCGTCTCCAAAATTGATTTGTTTCGAAGGGAAGATGAATGAATAACTTAATCAAAGTAATTTCCTTCATTTTCTACTTTATTATTAATTAATAATACTTTATTAATTAATACTAATTAATAATAATTTGATTAAGGTATTTCCATTCGAAACAAATCAATTTTAGAGACCAAAAACGGCAGGAATTAAGTTTAACACCTAATATATGATATCTGCACCAGTATCTCCATTATTGTTATATTAGTTGCGTACGTACTTTCGCGAGTTTGTGCAGACGGAACGCCAGCCACCTTTGTGGAAGAGCTGCAGTCTTCCCGCTAGCGGACTCGGTCCGTCGACAAGGCGTATCGTGGGTGATGTTCGAAGAGATGGAATTTGCGTTTCTGCTGCAGTCAGCAAGATTGGCATGTGTGCTTCGCCCTTTTAACAGAATTAAATATCGTTAGAAAATATTAAATGCAATTTCATAATACAGTGAACAAAGGAGCATATAACCACACGCAGGCTCGTCTTAATTAGCATAAAATCATAATATATTTAAATTCTTTAACAATATTAATTTAAACCATAAACGCTTCGGCCAAAATTAAGTCATCTTCAGTATATTATATAACTAAAATTTGATGTATAAATTAATAAAAAATTATATAATTGTTAAAATATTAACATAGTCATAAACGAAAAAGCGTATCCGTTAGATATTAGAGTTATGCCATGATTAATCATAAACGTTTCCATCTGAATTCGTAACATACGTTGTCAGTCTATTTAAACCTAAAGATTTTTTCAAATATGATTGTTACGTAGAATGTTCCTTAAACATTTTAATTTTTTGTTAATGGTAACCACGGCAGTGTCCCGCGCCATGTCTTAGCATCGAGACTCTATTACGTCTCCTGATTGTTGTGAAGACATGAGAGTTCCAATTTCTGTGTTGTATACAACGATCCTTATAAAATTGTTTCGACTTCCAAGATTTGGCAATACTGAACGAGTTTTTTTAATTTATCGATTAATCAATCGTATTATGCGCAAATACAGTTTTTACGAAAGAAAATTACATTTGTGCACAATGCGATTGATCAATCGATGAATTAAAAAACTCACTCACTTTATGTGGACGATGGAAACAATAGTTTAAAAGTGTGTATCATTGTCTCGCAACAATCTTGATATTTGTAAATTAAAGATGTGATAAAACAAGATATTTTTGTAAGAAGGATCATTGATCGAAATAAAAAATAAAACAAAATAATATTACAAATTACAAATTAATATAAGAATTAATAAGTTTTTACAAACTCCTTTAATTAAAATAATTAATAAAACCATAAAATATGTATTACAGGCAATAGGAATCGACGATGGTTATCAGTTAGCGTAATTTTTCTTAATACTAAATATATAGACCTTTACTTTGAACGCTTCCACTCATGCTTTGAGTCTTCATCAGCAATCTTTCACCCTAGCGTAACGATTGGAGTATTGCATGACAAAATGATATCCCCCACGTTTTTCTTCTCAAATATTGAACCGTTTACTGTTGTAAGGTAAGTCACATATTCACAAAGTTAGAAAGCTGAGTGGCAATGAGAATTCAAGCTAAAATTATATGAAGGATTAAATTATCGTATGTATAATTTGAAAATTGATATTTACCTCACCTCACACAGTCGACGCTTCTACACTGTACAATGAATCTCTCTTATTTAACATTTTGTAACTCGATAATATGTTATAAATTATCGTCAAATTCTAAAAAATAACTGCGAGAACAATATGTGTCTTGCCATTTCGACAGTCGGTTAAATAACGATTGCTAAACAACTAACATAGCGGTCAATTTGAAGACAAACAAGTTTATGACATATATTGTATTACGAACAAGCCATAAAGTTTATTGAGAATTTCAATGTACGCATAATTTAAACCAATGGTATCATGTTGTAGATTCAGCCCATTGGTCTGTCGATTAATATGCATCATATCTGATATTAACCTTTTATTATTAGGTGTTAAACTTAATTCCTATCGCTCGCTACTAAAGGGCTCTGCCTCCAACGCTGACGAGTTTCGACGATGAAGCCACGTGTCTTTTGTAGTTTAGACATCGCTGAAAGTGATTCAATCCTCACAGGTTAGATTTCTCGACGCCAAAGAGATTTTCCCATCGATTGAAAATGAATCGCGATAAGCTGTTTTTCCTGACATGTGCTTCTTCACTACTTCGACTTTAAGAAGACCGCAGCTGAAGCTCATCGCTTATTATCCGAAGTATATGGGGATGAAACTCCATCGGAAAGAACATGTAGAGTTTGGTTTGAACGCTTCCGAAACGGTGATTTTGATGTGGGAGACAAAGAACGTCCAGGACAGCCGAAAAAATTTGAAGATGTCGAGCTTGAAGAATTGCTTGATGAGAATCCAGCTCAAACGCTTTTAGAGTTGTCGAAACAGTTAAATGTTACTCCAATGGCCGTCTCAAAACGCTTGCATGCCATGGGAAAGATCAATAAGGAAGAGAGATGGCTACCACATGAGTTGACAAAAAGTGCCATTTTAAATCATTTGACTATTGCGACTTCTTTGCTTGCCAGGCAAAGAAAAAAGAGTTTTTTGTGGCGCATCGTGATTGGCGATGAAAAATGGATTTATTTTGATAATCTCAAGCGGAAATATCATGGGTGGACCTCGGTCAACCATCCGCTTCAACGCCGAAGAGGAATATTCATAATACCTTGCTGTGCGTTTGGTGGGACCAGGAAGGTGTGCTGTATTACAAACTCTTGGGTCCAAACGAAACCATTACAGCTGATCGCTACAAGCAGCAATTATACCGATTGAGTGACAAATTGATGCAAAAAAGATCATCCGTAGCCAACAATCGACGCAAAGTTATTTTGTTGTATGATAACGCTCGACTGTATGTCGCGAAAAGTGTGAAGCAGGCACTTCGAGAGCTTGAATGGGAAATTCTGCCGCACCCAGCGTACTCTCCAGACTTGGCACCGTCGGATTACCATCTCTTCCGATCGATGCAACACGCACTTACGGACACACACTTCT